TTCTGTACAATTATTATGTATGTTTTTGCGTAAATGATGTATTTAGGGTGTCCGAAACTTTTGCTAAGGTACTGTATATATATATATATATATATATATATAGTTTTACCATTTTCACTTATTCACTGTCCATTATCTTTTGCATAAATTTGATGTCTATATCTTTGAAAATGGAGGAGGGATAATGATTTGAAAACAGTATATCACTTACTATGTAAATTATTACAAAAAAATTTATATACATTAATTAGATTTGATTCTTAAAATGTCACACATCCAATGTCCCTTCGAAATACAGTCAAACCTCGTCTCAACGAACCCATGGTACAGATCACCATAATTCGTTTTAATAGTAATGATTGATATTTCAGACATAATAATAATAATAAATAAATATTAAATACATCTTCAACATTCACGACAGATGTGGTCTTTTTAATTTGGCTTAATATGAATTTAGTTCAATTTTAATCCATTTATCAGTCTTTTTCAATATGTCACTAACTTGACCTGCACTAACTCCATATGTTTGTGCTAATTAAATATTTTTTGGTTAGGTTTATTATTCAGCAGTGATATATATACGTTTTTTAATGGGTGGTGATGATGATTGTTGTTGAGACATTTTCAAAGATTTTAATTGATGAAGAGTTCAAGAAAATTTTTAATTATGTAAGATTGTAATAATTTAATTAAAAAAATCTTTATTGTTCGTTTTCATCTTTTTTTTATTATTCGGAAATTTGGATAAAATGTAGAAATTTGGCTTTAACTTTATCACGTGAATTCGTTGTAATGCGAAAATCTTATCAATAAATTCGTTGTCTGTTGTTAATATAAAACTCGTTGAAGCGAAAATTCGCTGGAATGAGGGTTTGACTGTATATTCAACTACATTTATCCCCTCAAAGGCTAAAACTTTATCCCTACAGATGTAGGACTAAAAGCTTGACCTTGGAAATTATCTGCATATGGTTTTTTTACCTTTACTAAATTTGGTAAATTAAATTTTATTGTTCCAATTTTTTGAGTTAAGAGGTTCGGCACCAATGTATAAATATGAATTTGCGACATGTATAAAATACCATTGTTTTTAAACTTTAATGGAAAGGTATCTCAATTTTATTAAGTGGGCGTAGTTTCTAAGCCAAAATTGTTCTACGCGAGAAATTACATTCAGCAATGACATTAACTCAAAATCGCTGCTGTTTGAAAAGCCCCGTATATAAATTTGGTTAGCGCCGCCAATTATCGTAAATTAACGAGTTTCAAATAGCACTAATATCTTTAAAAATTATGAAAGATAACTCTGTCTACACTTACCACAAGATTCCGGGGCAGTTTTTATAGCTAGCTGAATATTTAATGACTCATATGGCGTATTTCAGTGATTCTTTCATTTTGTTCCAAGTTCGGAAGGTAGGTTTTTTGTAAGTTATAAATAGGATATAGACTTGTAAAAAGGTTTATATTATATTGTAAATGAGAGGTTCGAATCAATAATAACGATTATTACCAACACCCTCCTTTTCTGATGAATGAATAATATGAATTATACTTTTTATGGCGTTATTATTATTTACGATTATATTAATATAAATTAAACCCGTTATTATTTATTGTATATATTGAGAAAGAAGAAGCGTGTGGGGTAGGGAATGTTTTAATGTTAGATGAGAATCAATACTATTTCAACATTAATCAAAAAAAAAAAAAATTTTTTTTTCTTTTATATATATGTCTCCTCTCCCCAAAAAACTAAACTTTAAAACTTTTTTAAAAAAAATTTTTTTTTTTATCCTTTGATTAATAAATATAATAATAATAACAATAATAATCATGACTCATACTAACGGGCATCAATATAGCAGTAGTGAACTTATAAACTTAGAAAATAGCTATGGCGCTCACAAGTAAATTCTAATATACATTATTGTTTATTTGTGTCTATTGATTGATTGATTGATCGATTAATTTATTAAAATTTTTTTGATAACAAAATGTAATTGATCATATCAACCATAGTTACCATCCACTCCCTGTTGTATTTTCCAAAGGGGAAGGTATTTATGTGTGGGACCCAGAGGGTAATAAATATATGGATTTTTTAAGTGCATACTCTGCAGTAAATCAGGGACATTGTCATCCCAAAATTGTTAAAGCACTTTGTGATCAAGCTCAAAAACTTACTTTGAGTTCAAGAGCATTTTATAATGATGTATTTGGTAAATATGCAAAATATGTCACCGAGGTAAAAATTAATATTCAAAATTTATTGATGATCTAAAAATATGTTACTTAATAATAATAATATATATTATGTATTTTTAGTATTTTAATTATGATATGGTTTTGCCAATGAACACTGGAGCTGAAGCAGTAGAGACAGGAATCAAACTTGCCCGTAAATGGGGATATGTTAAGAAAGGTATCCCAGAGAATAAGGCAATGGTCATATCATGCACAAACAACTTTCATGGAAGGACAATTAGTGTCATCTCCATGTCAACTGATCCTGATTCACGTCGAGAATTTGGTCCTTTTATGCCACTTGTTGGTCCTATTTGTCCATCAACTGGTAAAAAAATTGAATATAATTCAGTTAAAGATTTAGAAGATGCATTGGAAGCACATGGTAAACACGTAGCTGGATTTTTGGTAGAGCCAATTCAAGGTGAAGCTGGGCAAGTATTGACTTTTTTTTTTAAAGGAAAAACTTTTCTTTACTAATAATAATAAAACTAAAAATAAAATTTTTATTATTATAATTACCATGTTATAGTATATATGTACCAGATGAGGGCTATTTGAAAAAATGTTATGACCTTTGTAAAAAACATAATGTTTTATTTATTGGAGATGAAATTCAAACAGGATTAGCCCGTACAGGCAAAATGATTTGTTGTGAACATGAGGGAATACAACCAGACATATTATTATTGGGTAAAGCACTGTCTGGAGGAGTTTATCCAGTATCAGCTGTTTTGGCTAATAAAGAAATTATGTTGTGTATTAAACCTGGTGAACATGGATCAACATATGGTGGTAATCCACTAGGATGTGCAACAGCAATAGCAGCACTTGAAGTGATTAAAGAAGAAAATCATGTGGAAAAATCAGCTGTATTGGGAGAGAAATTCCGTAAAGCTTTGCAAGGTATCAATTCACCATTGATTGAAAAAGTGAGAGGGAAGGGTTTATTAAACGCAATAGTGATTAATGAGAAGACTGATAAAAGTGCATGGCAAATATGTTTATTACTTAAGTCACGAGGTTTATTGGCTAAACCAACTCATCGTAATATTATTCGATTGGCACCACCATTATGTATCAGCTCTGAGGAGTTGATGACTGGTGTTAAGATTATTGAAAATGCATTGAAAGATATTGTGGAAATGGATGTTGCGAATATCCCTGGTTATTTGGATGATTTGAAATTAAGTAATGCTCATTAATTAATTAATTAGTATTATTTGGATTTCTTGGAAAAAACACTTTTCAAAAATAATAAAAATAATAAAACAATAATAGATTGATATAATAAAATTTTTTAATTGATAGTGCTTCAATTAATTATAAATATTAATGTTACTAATTAAATTCTAAAAAAATATTAGACAATGATTCTAGTATAAATTTCTTGTTGGGTGCAGCTTTAATAGCAATATTTATTTGATAAATTAAATTGGTTTATAGTAAAGTAGAATTAGTATAACTATAGTCAAAGATATAACTTTGAAAATATTAAAATATTATTTAAAAAGATAGATCAGACAACTGTTATCATACTAATTGATTGTTGAAAATTGCAATACTATTGTGATAGCATTCTTTGAAGATGTGATTTTGATTTATAAAAATGAATTATTTCTTTTGTAAAATTTTTTCAACTTGTAGCAATCAAGTAAATATAAACAACACATGTTTAAAAATTAATTTACTTGAAAATCTGATTTAATCTAATGCTAATACTAAGATCAGCCAAATAACCTGAAAACAAGTAATGAATCAACAATCAGAAAAACCATAAAGTAATAGTAATTATTTGTCCGAGTGAGTTGTTAAAACTACAAACATGCCCAACCCAAAAGAATATCTATAATGTAAAAAGTTACATAAAGTGCAAAGTTCATTCTTGTTACATATTTTTGAGTAATATCATTTACAAAAATTTCCAAGTTTTGAGGTTAATATGTAAAATATAAAATAGCGATCTATCTTTTCCTTAAAAGTCGTGTAACACTAATTCGTGTAGTATTTTGCATATTATTAAATTAATTATAAGATGTCTGAAGAAGAAGTAAAAAGGTTGCTTAAATTAGTGGAGGAATCGTTTAATGAAACTATAACCGTCAAACTAGCAAAAAAAAAGATAAGCGAACTTCCTGTTGAAGTTATAAACTATGCAAATAATTATAATGTTGATAGGTAATGAATGATTAAATTTTTTAGAGTGTAATCGATTATCAAAAAGATTTAACCCATTTTTTTTATTTTATTTGCATGTAATAAATAAATAGATTGTCAATTGAAAGCAATCAATTGTCAAAACTTCCAAATGAAATGTCTAATTTTACACATTTAAGATATCTTAATCTTTCTCAAAACCTTTTTATGGAATTTCCAGAAGCAGTAATAATTGATCTATTTTATTTTTATTATTTCATTTAAAATTAAAATTATTTGAATATATATGCTAATGTATATGTATATATTTAAAAAAATAAGCTTTGTTTAATGCCAAGTTTAAAAATCTTGGATATTAGTAAAAATAAAATTCGTAAACTACCCCAAGATTTTGGAAAATTGATGACATTACAGGTAATAAAATTGATGGTAAATAGTAAAAGAGAAATTTTATTAAAAAAAACAACTTTTTTTTTATTAAAAAAATTAGTTGCTGAAAATTTCAAAAAATCAAATAAAAAGAATACCAAAATATTTTGCAGATATGAAAGATTTGCAATATTTAAAAATTGATTACAATCCAATTAAATTTCCACCAAAAGTTATCCATATGATGCCAAAAGGCGAAGATAAAGATGTTATGCTACCTTGGTTAGAAAATTTAAAGGAATATCTTAGACAAAATTCAGGCAAGCTTATTAAATTAATTTTTGCACGCAAAAAGGCATGAATTAATAATTTAATTATTTTCTATTTTTATCTTAGATCAAACTGAGTTAGATGAAGGCAAAAATAGCAGGTTGGTTTTAAGATATTTACATATAAATATTTATTAATAGGAAATGATCAAATATATATCAACATTATTATTATATTAGCAGTGAAGAAGAAGTGGATTATCAGTTTGATTCACAAAATAATAGTGATAATAAACAATTAAAAAAAGCAACGTCAGTTGATAATATTAATTACTTGTCATCTAATGTTAATACAAGACAAATAGTTGATGGTGCTGGGTCATCATCATCTTTAAAAACAATCAAAGAGAATGACCAAATGGTGTCAAAACAAGAGAAAAAACGCCTTAATCCAAAATTAAGTTTGGATTTACAACCTGTTCGTCGTAGTCGAAGTCACAGTAATGATTTTGATGCAACATTAACAAATTTTAGAAATACATTTGTTAAACATTCAAAAAGTGTATCCACAGATTCAATAAATTCAACACAGAATCAAAGTAGTATTATTGAAGAAAAACAAAGTGATTATTATTTCCAAAAACTTAGGACACTTCCTCCATCAGACCATCTTCAAATGAGTGATATTTCACTGAGAGAAGCTAGCCGAAATATTTTATATGCATTTTCACAAGTTCATAAAGCAATTTGTCAATTTGCAATTGTTACAGGAAATGAAAAAATATTTATGAATGATCTTAACAAAGCAACAACACTGATTGGACAGTTAAGTACAGCATTGGAAAAATATGATAATTTTGTATTACAAGCACCACCTGGTGCAGAATATTGTATCAAATTGCTTAGTACATGTCAAGAAAGTATAGCTAGTTTTAAGACATTAATGGAACTTTTGAATAAACGACTCAAATCACTTACACAATCTTCAGATAATATGAGATATTCTCGTACACTTCTATTGATGCTTCATGGAGCAGTTGCAGATATTAAATTTGCATGGGAATTAATATTTCCACTATTAAATGTTCATACACCTTATACTGGAATGTCTACTCCTTTTAGATCAAAATCCATGTCACGATCAAATAGCAGTAATCTTGCTAATGTTGTACCACACTCAGCAGGTGCTGCTTCATCATATTTTTTTGCTATGCCATCATCACCTTACAATAATTTAAATACACCTACAAGTGCAGGATCACCAAATAACTCGAATACAGAATTTTTATTTTCAATAGCTATATTTGATCAACTTCTTTCAAAAGTAGAATTTGCAATTAAGGCTGTAGAAAATGTTATAAAATGTTTGTCAGATAATGTAAAAGATGTTTTAGAACCCACCAGCGAAGATCAGGTGGAATCCTCATCATCTATCAAAGATAAGATGAATGAATTGATAAAGGATGCAAATGAAGTTACCATACACTTAAAAAAATCTTTATTATCAGTAAAATCATCTACAACCAATAATAAAGATGACCCATCCATACAACTTAAAATTTATGATGATACACTGGTTTTTCTTCAGGTAAATAATACTTTTTATTTGTTGTATGTTTATTTAAAAATAATTAATTACATTATTAAAATCAAAAAAAAAATTATTATTAGACAACAATTAAATACCACACTCAGCAGGTGCTGCTTCATCATATTTTTTTGCTATGCCATCATCACCTTACAATAATTTAAATACACCTACAAGTGCAGGATCACCAAATAACTCGAATACAGAATTTTTATTTTCAATAGCTATATTTGATCAACTTCTTTCAAAAGTAGAATTTGCAATTAAGGCTGTAGAAAATGTTATAAAATGTTTGTCAGATAATGTAAAAGATGTTTTAGAACCCACCAGCGAAGATCAGGTGGAATCCTCATCATCTATCAAAGATAAGATGAATGAATTGATAAAGGATGCAAATGAAGTTACCATACACTTAAAAAAATCTTTATTATCAGTAAAATCATCTACAACCAATAATAAAGATGACCCATCCATACAACTTAAAATTTATGATGATACACTGGTTTTTCTTCAGGTAAATAATACTTTTTATTTGTTGTATGTTTATTTAAAAATAATTAATTACATTATTAAAATCAAAAAAAAAATTATTATTAGACAACAATTAAATTATGTGAATTCGCAAAGGATGTTTCACACAAATGGCAATTGAGTAGCAAAGTTAAAGCAGGGCTAAGCCATGTGATGAAGTCTTATACCGAATTAACAGATTTATTAAATAAAAGTCAAGTGTTAGATAATACTTGATAATTTAATTTAAACAAAATAATATTTAATTTAATTTAATTCTACTTTAATAAAGCCTCATGAATTTTTTCAAAAAATAGAATTTAAGATACCGTCTTTCTAAAAAGTAGGATCTAGTGGTTCAATATTAATATTAATATTAAAAGTTCGCGTGTTTTTACACATAAAAAAAAATATAATTTAGCGCCTGATTTTTTGGCTAAAATTACAGCATTGTTAGTGTAGATCATTAGTTTCCGCTAGCACTTTGCTGTAACATTGCTAAAAATTTTACTTTTGAGAAATACTCACCACACATATCAATGATCAAAATCCATGAAGAAGTCATTGAATAGAACATTCAATTGAGATATCAAATAAAACAAAAAGTTTGTACAACAAAACTACATTCTGATAAATGGGAGATGATTTATTTAAATACATCTAATAAATTGTTTTAATCAAAGGATGACGAGCTAGCTTTAAATTAACTATAGGTTAATTACGTGTATAACTTTTAAATTTTTAATAATGTATTTAGATTTTTAGATAAATAAACGTGATTACAAGGCCTCATTTTAGTATATAAATAAAAATTATGGTGCCATTAGAAATGGTTTTATATTTTTTAAGTTAACTGGTATCAAGAATATTGGAAATCGCTTATGAGATAACCAATAAAGCTACTATGTGGTTATCTATAAAAAATATTTGTAATTGCCAACCCGTCAATAAAATTGCAGTTGCAATGCTTTTTGTGGATAACTACATTATTATGTATTATACCAATAAAAGGGTATTAACACGAAACCATAAAAAAAAACCAGAAATAATTTGCTGTCCATCGTCAGCACTATATGCTGAATCTGGACCAGTGATGTCTTTGAACACTTCTTTAAATTCTCTTAACACCGGTGTTGTTATCAAATCTTGATCTCAATGCATTCGCAATGACTTACAATATAAAGTTCATAAAGAAACAGAGACCAAAGTTATATTTAAAAAAAATATAAAGAGCATCTGGCAAAAGTTCAATAAAATGCCAAATTGGTTGAAAATTGTGGCGCATTCTTCTGATGAAGATGAAAACGAAAGATCCTGTCAGTATGATCTTTGATGATTGAATAAAGGTGAAAGATTAATCGCAATAATGCTGATGGATTATTTGGGTTTGATTATATCAAATATTTATTACATACTACTAATACAGTAATATCTATTTGCCAAATGATACGCGCAGTGAGAGGGCGCAACAGGCGCAGGCTTAATACCTTAATATTAACATTTAGAATTTTCCTATTACTATTACTATATATAAAATTCCGAAAAAAAAAGAGCTGTCCGATATTTTTCCTTTTCTTTTTTATAAAACTTTTAACGAAAAAAATTTTATTCTTCCAGAAAATCTTTAGCATTCCAATTTATAATTCTAATTATAATTATAATTCTAATTATAATTATTATAACTAATACTAATTCAGGAGAAATTTCCCGTTGTGTTGCCATTTAATTTTACGCGTATAATAATAATGATGAAAGATTCGTGTCATATCATTGTAAATCATAATAACATTTGTAACATACTATTAATAAATTTACATCCCCTTGCTTGTTAATCGTTATATGATTTTGTTTATTAATCCAAAAAAAAATATATTTTTAATATCGAAAGTCTTTACAAAAATAAAATGAAACCAATATCAAAAAATAATAATATTAGAACCGAATCCTCTCATTTAAAAACAATTGTCAAGAATTATCAAAAACCATGTCCTCCTCGCCAAACTAAATTTCTAGATTTTAGTGAGGTTCTTAAGAACCCTCCGGTCGAAGGAAATGCAAGACTTAAAAAAAGAGGAACAGCAACTAAACCGATTGTTATCCTAGACACATTCGAGTTACAACAAATTAGAGCGCAACAACAACAAAAAGCAAAAATGGAGGCTGAAAAAAGGCTTAAGCCAAATGTTAAAAATCTCTACAAAAAAGTGTTGTCTTGGGACTTAAATTCATCTGGCGATTTCCCTCCCAATATGGATAAAAGAAAATTCAAGGATATACCTGATATATTTAAATCTACTGAAGAATACTTGAATATATTTCAACCATTATTGATATTGGAATGTTGGCAGAATTTTCTCAATGCAAAAGATGAAATGGATGAAAACGATTCGTTTACTTTTGTTGTTGATAGTGCCATGATGGTACATGAATTTATAGAAATTTATGTAACTGCAGAACCATCGTCATCTAATGAATTGACATGGGGCGACAATGATCTTTTATCAATGAGACAATTAACATTACCAGATGAACAGGATAAATTGAAAAATCAAAATAAAGAATTCTTAACAATAATTAAAAATATAAATGGTAATAAAATTACATTGTTAGCCTATTTAGCTAATGATATCAAGGAAATTCGACGTGAATTAATATCATCAAGTAGATGGAAAGTCATAAAAATGTCAAGGTAAATTTTTAATATTATGGAATGCTTTTGGATTATATACATTTGGAATTAAAATATGTGTACAATAGTTTAACACCTGCTGTACGTGAATATTCTGCTTTAATTGGGTTACCATATTATCACTGGCGTGATTTCATTTTGAACCCAAAAAAATTAACATCAATGCTTAAAGTGCCATCTGGTAACATAAATAAATATATGGAGAATTATCATATTAATATATCACAAGCTGAGGCAGTTTGGAAAGTTGTAAATCAAGAAAAAGGGATTACACTTATTCAAGGACCACCAGGAACAGGAAAGACCTCAACAATTGTTAGTATGGTTAGTGAATTAAGGAATATTTCTAGAAACTTCAAATCTCGTGTTCTGGTTTGCGCTCCAAGTAATGCGGCAGTAGATGAATTGGAAAAACGATTTAAACAAGGTATAAACAATAGACGGGGCGATTTGATCCAAACTAAAGTTCTTAGATTTGGAAAAAATGAAGATTTTGAAAGGAATGCAGATTCAGAACTAAGATCAAGATTAAAGAAACTGGAAAATGAAATATTGCAAATTGAACAAAAATTTATTAAGTCAATGAATGATGATGTCTCGCAATTGTCTTCTTTGCAAGCAAAATCAAATCGTTTGAAAGATGAGAAAAAATACATTAGTGATGAGTTGACAAAATTGATTGCTACAAACAGTAGATCAGAAAAATATGATATATATAGAACTTGGACTAGCAAAGAAGATTTGTATGATGCAGATATTGTATGTGCTACATTGGCTGGAAGTGGCCATGAAAGACTTTTGAATATGGCCAATGACTTTGAGACTGTGATAATTGATGAAGCAGCACAATCAATTGAATTATCTAGTTTAATTCCATTAAAGTACAATCCTAAAAGATGCGTAATAATTGGAGATCCTAATCAATTGCCTCCAACAGTTCTTTCTCAAAAAGCAACAGAATTCTCATATGACCAAAGTCTCTTTCTTAGATTTCAAAAGCTTGTGCCTGAATGTATACATCTTTTAAATACACAATATAGAATGCATCCTGGTATAAGTAAATTTCCTAGTGACTTGTTCTATAATTCTGAACTAAAAGACGCAGATGGCTTATCTGAAAAAAAAACACAGCCATGGCATGGAAACAAATTTTTTGGCCCTTATAGATTTTTTGATATACAAGGCTCAATGGGATATGATAAAAGTTCAATATATAATAGAAAAGAAGCTCACATTATATTACAATTATTTAATATGTTGGTCAAAGAATATCCAGGTGTTGATGTAAGTGTTCTCCTTGATATTTTACTATATATTAAAATGATTTGTATTTTATTATTATTATCATTATTATTGACCTTAAATAGTTTAAGGGAAAGGTAGGTATTATTTCTCCATACAAACGACAAGTATCTGAGCTCAAGAGACTTTTTAAATCAAGACTTCCACATGACTCATATTTATCAATAGATTTTAATACTGTTGTGAGTTTTTATTTTCTTAAAAAATTTTTTTATTCGTTGAATTCTTAAAATTAATAATGATTAATTTCTGATATCAATTTAATGAATTTTTTAGGATGGTTTTCAAGGGAAAGAAAAGGATATTATAATGTTATCATGCGTTCGTGCTGGCGATGGTAATATATATAATATAATGAATGATACCATGATTGAAATGCAAGTCAATACTGATTGATGTCTCTTTTCATAATATAGCAAAAAGTATAGGATTTTTAAGAGACTTGAGAAGAATGAATGTTTCATTAACACGAGCCAAAAGTTCATTATTTATTGTTGGAGATTCAAAATCTTTAGAAACTAATGAAAACTGGAACAAACTAGTTTTAGATGCGAAGGAGAGAAATTTATTTACAAATGTACGTAATTGTTATTTCTACTCTGTATTTTTACTGAAACAATTAATAATAAATAACATTAATTACCATAGTGCTCAGATATCGAATATTGTAATTTTTTTAATTTATTTGGTGGAGTTGGTGGTACTAATGGTATTAAGGTATGTAAGTAAATAAATAATTTTATTATTTGCAAAAATTTCTGTTAATTTTTTTTCCATTCTTCATTGAAAAGACTAATTATTACAGAGCCAATCATTCTGATAACAAAAATAAAAACAATAATTATAATAATAATAGTTTTAATCACAATTATGACAACAGAAACAGCCACAACTACAACTACTATCATAATAATAACTACCATAATGACTATAATAATAGCTACGATAACAACAACTATCGTAAAAGGGTTCATGAAAAGAGTAATGATGAATCTAATAATAATGATGATAGCAATATCCCAAAGAAAGCCAGAATTGATTAAATCATTTATGGAAGATTACTTGAAACATAGATTCTAGATAGATTTCGTTATAGATTTATTTTGCTTAAATATCTTGTTATTACAATTAATAAACAAAATGGATAATTGAACATGTTGTATGTAAAAATCATTTCAAAACCTTGGTGCTTTTGGAATATAATTTTCCAAGTGTTTTAAGATGACTGGATAAGATGGTTAGAATCTGTTGGTTGGTGTATGTATTGGTGGTAAAATTCATTTTGGGTGCAATTCGCGTTATCTCATGTTCAGGCCTTCAGAGTAAAAATTTTAAATGTGATTTTTTCTTTTTTTCCCTTCGTTGTTATACGTTATTCCAAATTTGGTTGGTTTGGTTCTACAGATCGACATAAAATGATTTTTCTCCAAAGTCTGGTTGGTATTCAAAGGTTTGAGTGTTTTCTCGGAAGTATTGCGTAAAAGTTATCATAAAAATAAAAAAATGGTATTCTCAATATTTCTGTTATCCTCCAATTGAAATTTGTAGAACAGTCAAAAATCACATAAAACAATAAATAACTACCGATTAATATATTTTATTTTGGGATTGGTATTACTGTCGTATATTACTAATTATATTAATGACCAAAAACGTTTGATGTAACATTAAAAAAAACTCATATTAAAATGAAATGTCATTGATGTAATTAACTGCAATGACCGATCACCTGATTTCGATGTTCATTACATCTTCGGCAGAATGGTTTTACCCCAGAGAAAAAAAATTCCTTTTCTAAAATTGCTAATATAAAAGCAGTTCCATTACTTTTTTGGTAGTTATAAATCATAGAGCAAATGATCATTAAAATTTCTCGCGTTTTTTCATTGTTAAAAAAAAAGTCTCCCTCTTTTTTGTTAATATATATAAACAATTATTTATTGCTTCAAAATAATTTTAAAACTTTGATAAATTATAAAAATTATTTTGGCTCAAATTATCATAATCATATTTATAATCATACTAAATCAGCAATGGCAACAACTATTACAATGAAATCATCATCAAAAGCAACAATACCAAAATCATCACCATCAAAAGCAACAGAAACTACAATGCAAGCAACATCACCGTCGTCGACAACAATACCAACTTTTTCTTCATCAAAAAGATTTTCAACAAGTTTCTCTTATAAACAATTTTATCAAAAAATTTTAAAATCTAAAATGGCAAGTACAGGTCGGTTTATTTAAATTGATGAAATCTTGCATCTATTTATTTAACATGTCGTTCAATTAATACCCTCATTCTTTACACACACACACACACATAATGCAGATGACAAACAATCAAAAATACTTACCTATGAAACAATTAATTCTCATGTTAGGAAGGCAGAATATGCTGTTCGTGGAGAATTAGCAATTCGTGCTGATAATATTAAACAAGAATTATCCGAAAAATCCAATAAATATGATTTCAGTGAAATTGTAAGCTGTAATATTGGTAATCCACAACAACTTGATCAAAAACCAATCACATTCTTCCGTCAGGTAATTGACTAATCTAGTTATTAATTAATTATTTCTGTTTACTATTTGAATTATTTACATTTCTAAATTTCATTCCTGTTGATTTGATAGGTTATTTCTTTGTTGGAATACCCTGCTCTTTTATTACCAGAAAATTGGAATATAGCTAAGCAATTGTATCCTTCGGACGCAATCGAACGAGCAAAATTATTATCAAAACATATAAAAAGTGTAGGCGCCTACTCTCATTCTCAAGGTGTATTACACATAAGACAAAATGTCGCTAAATTTATAGAAGGTTAATACTTTTTTCGATATAATTAATTCATTCGATATAAATATTAATAATATTATGTGTCTTAATTACTAATTATTCCACAGAGCGTGATGGATATCCAACAGATCCAAATAACATTTTCCTTACTCAAGGCGCATCTATAGCGATTCAACATGTACTTCAGCTTATAATATCAAATGATAATGTCGGTATTATGATTCCTATTCCTCAATATCCACTCTATACTGCCACACTATCATTATTTAATGGTAATCCAGTCCCTTACTATTTGGATGAAGATAATGGTTGGAAGTTAGACATCAAAGAGTTAGATGAATCATTTGTAGAAGCCAAGAAAAAAGGATTAGATGTTAGAGCACTTGTGATAATAAATCCTGGCAATCCAACGGGTCAATGTCTTTCTGAGGATAACATTAAAGAAGTCATCGAGTTTTGTCATAGTAAAAGAGTAGTTATTTTGGCTGATGAAGTCTACCAGGCAAACATCTATCAACATGCCGAAAGACCATTCCGATCTTTCAAAAAAGTTCTCAAATCAATGGGAAAAGATTATGAAAATTTTGAATTGTTTTCTTTCCACTCTATCTCAAAAGGTGTGATTGGTGAGTGTGGTAAACGTGGTGGATATTATGAATGTACTGGCATCAATAAAAATGTGATTGATCAACTTTACAAGGTTGCTTCTATTAGTCTTTGTCCGAATGTTAGTGGTCAGATTATGGTGGATTTGATGGTTAATCCCCCAAAGATAGGTGATGAAAGCTATCCGACGTATAAACAAGAAACAGATGCTATTTACGAAAGTTTGAAAAGGCGTAGTCAAAAATTATGTGATTTGTTTAATAAATTAGAAGGTGTAACGTGTAATAGTGCTCAGGTATATTTTTTTTAAATGTTATAATTCTTGTATATATATTATACTTGTTATACTAAACTTTTTTAAATAAAAGGGATCGATGTATCTTTTCCCAAGAATTAAACTTCCACCAAAAGCAATAAATATGGCAAAAGAATTGGGTAAACAACCTGATGAACTTTATTGTTTTGAGATGCTTGAGGCAACAGGTGTCTGTGTAATACCTGGCAATGGTTTTAGACAAAAAAAGGACACTTGGCATTTTCGTAGTACTTTTCTTCCATCAGAAGAATTGTTTGATGGATTTTGTAAAAAAATAGAAGAATTTCATAAATCATTTCTTTTAAAATATAGTGGTGCTGATTAATTAATAAATTACATAATAATCATTAAAATGCTAATTAATCAATTATGGATGGGCTTGTCATATTAAATTAATTTATTTTTATTCTAATTAATTTTTTTTTTAATATTTATTTATACACATTACACATGTTTGTATCACGTTTTCTTCTTTTTTGGAAATCTTGCAAATGTCAAAAAATAAACTTGATAAAAAAAAAAACAATATTTAATGTTCATCTCTATTGAAAAAAATATCATCCATCAAAAAATAACTTTTTACTAAAAATCTTTTTTTTTCACAAAATATTAATTATTTTTAAGAAAAAACAAACCTTTTAGAAACAAAATGTTTTCCGGTACAAAAACAGGGTGGGAATTATACGAAGAATTTGAATCCGAGTTTTCACCATCAGCTGTTGTCGCATTGTTTCATCAAAAATTAAAATACCAGTTACCACCAACATACACTTACGACAGGAAGGTCAATAGAAAATACTCGTGTAAATTAACTTACGAGAACGAAGAGTGGGAAACCGAACAATTGTACGACAGACAAAAGGATGCAAAAAATGGTGTAGCTAAAGTAGCGTTAAAAACCTTAACATATCGTTATCCAAAGTTGGCGATTACCATCCAACAAATCCTCGAAATGAGATGTAAGTTAGTGTTTGTATCACGTTTTCTTCTTTTTTGGAAATCTTGCAAATGTCAAAAAATAAACTTGATAAAAAAAAAAACAATATTTAATGTTCATCTCTATTGAAAAAAATATCATCCATCAAAAAATAACTTTTTACTAAAAATCTTTTTTTTTCACAAAATATTAATTATTTTTAAGAAAAAACAAACCTTTTAGAAACAAAATGTTTTCCGGTACAAAAACAGGGTGGGAATTATACGAAGAATTTGAATCCGAGTTTTCACCATCAGCTGTTGTCGCATTGTTTCATCAAAAATTAAAATACCAGTTACCACCAACATACACTTACGACAGGAAGGTCAATAGAAAATACTCGTGTAAATTAACTTACGAGAACGAAGAGTGGGAAACCGAACAATTGTACGACAGACAAAAGGATGCAAAAAATGGTGTAGCTAAAGTAGCGTTAAAAACCTTAACATATCGTTATCCAAAGTTGGCGATTACCATCCAACAAATCCTCGAAATGAGATGTAAGTTAGGCCCCAAGCGACTAGTGTTTGGAAATGGTGTTCATCAAATGGCAAAAAACATTGCCGAAAAAATTTCAAGACCACCATCCGATATCTGGCTCGAGACACAACAACCATTAACACCACATAGAACACTTTTAGCCGACTTCATGTTGAATTATAACCTTGGAAATCCAGTTTATGTTGACATTATACCACCATTACGACCAGTAGGGATTAAATATATTAACCATCGCAACGATGTTACGATTTCCATTGCAAAAACTATAGCTGATGCTGCTACCCATTCACCACCAGCAGCTGATGCTGCTACCCATTCACCACTAGCAGTTGATGCTGACTCTAATACTACAAAAAAAGGATTATTTTATGTTTCTGTTATTGTTGGAAAACGCAAATTCAATCCATCAAAAGGATTTGAAATCAAGCCCGAGGCACAAGATCACGTTGCTGCTATAGCCCTTGAAATTTTGCATAAAGAAATTAGATCAGATGAAATGAAAATCATTCGTGAAAAAAGTATAGCATACCAAAAGTCAATTGGAAGAATTCCCGACGATGATGTCATTTTTGATAATGGCATTTTTGATTATATACCTTCTCATAAGGACGAGTTTAATGATCTTGAGTTGCTAGTGGAAGTCGAAGTAAATGATATAGAAGAGGAAATAAATACAAACTGTAGAAGTCAATCATCTTTAGTCAAAGAAGGAGGACCATCACATCACGGAAATCAACCATCTTTAGTCAAAGAAAGAGGACCATCACATCACGGAAATCAACCATCTTTAGCCAAAGAAGGAGGGACATCACATCACGGAAATCAACCATCTTTAGTCAAAGAAGGAGGACCATCACATCACGGAAATCAACCATCTTTAGTCAAAGAAGGAGGGCCATCATCAAATCACGGAAATCAACCATTTTTAGTCAAAGAAGGAAGACCATCATCAGATCACGGAAATCAACCATCTTTAGTCGAAGAAGGAGGACCATCATCAGATCACGGAAATCAACCATCTTTAGCCAAAGTAGGAGGGCCATCAGATCACGGAAATCAATCATCTTTAGCCAAAGAAGGAAGACCATCATCAAATCACGGAAATCAACCATCTTTAGTCGAAGAAGGAGAACCATCATCAGATCACGGAAATCAACCATCTTTAGCCAAAGAAGGAGGGCCATCAGATCACGGAAATCAATCATCTTTAGCCAAAGAAGGAAGACCATCAGATCACGGAAATCAACCATCCTTGGTGAACGAAATAAGACTATCGGATCCATCATCTTTAGTTGAAGAAGGAAGACAATCAGATCACGGAAATCAATCATCCTTAATGAGCGAAAGAAGGTCATCAGACTACAAAAATCGAAGAATACCATTATATTCACCTTCTTTAGTGGAAAAAAGAAGTCGTTTTTACCACAGAAATCCAAAAGATCTTCCTTTGTTCACTAAAGATAAAGTGGACAAAAGAAGATATCTTGGAGACCGATCATCTTTAGTGAAAAAAAACCATATTGACCGCAGAGATCAATTATCATTGGCGAAAGAAAGAAGAAGACATTTGTACCGTAGAAAGCAATCGACCTTAGAAAGAAGACATTTTGGAGATCGATCATCTTTAGTGAAAGAAGGAAGTCACTTTTACCACGGAGATCGACCATCTTTAATGAACAAAAGAAGATATTTTGGAGGTCAGTCATCTTCAATGAAAGAAGGAGGACCATCAAATTACAGAAATCAAACAACTTTAGACCACGGAAATCGATCATCCTTGATGTGGGAAAGAAGACAATCCGACAACGACAATCAATCATATTTTGGAGGTCAGTCATCTTCGATGAAAGAAGGAGGACCATCAAATTACAGAAATCAAACAAGACAATCCGACCACGAAAATCGATCATATTCAGTGAACGAAAGAAGACTAGACTACGAAGATCGATCATCTTTAATGAACAAAAGAAAACGTTCTGAAGATCAATCATCTTCAGCAAACAAAAGAATACATTTAGACCATGGTCGTTATTTTTCATCTAAAACATTTATAGAATTGGTATACGAATTTGCAGCAAAAACACACGTTATAAAACCTAGATATCAAATTCTCGAAATAAAAGATACAGATAAATTAGATAAATTTTACTCAAAAATGTTTCTCAATGGGGTTGAATACACGGGAAGAATTCGATCCAACGAAATACTTGCGAAGGAATCAGTAAGCCTAATCAGTTATGAATCTATAGTAAATTCAATAAAAAGAAGTTAATATAATAAATAATTTAAGGGAATGATAATGAATTAATAAAATAATCATATTCTTTCAAATGTTGTGTTACATGCAATTTTTTTTATATCAAAAATAATGAATTGGAAAATTTTAAAGGTAACTTATATAATAATAAATAAACAAGTTATTACATGAGCTATATAATATACCGAATAATGTTTGGTTAACAAAAAACCGAAATACGATATTAAAATTCATTTTGGCTACTATGAAAAACCAATTTCGGCCAGGTGATTGAGCTTATTGAAATTTGAAAAATCGAGTAAAAATGTTTTTTATTATATGTATATAGCAAACTTGAAAATGTCTTGGCTTTAATTCTATGATTTTTTTGGTTATGCATTTCCATATTTGGAAGAGTTAGAGGATATATATATATATACAAAGCCAATAAAAAAGTTCAGTGACTACACAATAACATAGTGAACATTTGATTTCATTGGCTAAATTTTATGACGATCTCCCTTCTAGATATCACTCAAAAATTAAATTTTATTGGCTTGAAGATTGTTACGTAAATTTGAAAAACAAAAATTATCGGAGGGAAGGAAATTTAGTTTCGAATTGATGTTTATAATATGTAAAAATATTAATATAGTATTTCTTTATTGAATGTTTTTAATACATAGGCTTGGTTTTTCATTACAGTCTAATATATTATTTATTTTTCAACTTTTCATTGACTTCATCAAATCAACATTTTACCTTTGATCATGAATTATCGTCCATTATATAATACTGTATATATATATATGTATCATTTCCTATAAATAAATAAATTGGTGGCATGAATATGAATACATGAATTTGAAAATAAAAATAAAAATGAATGTAAATATAAATATAAATGTAAATATAAATGTAAATGTAAATATAAATATAATAAATATAAAAGAAATATTTTAAATATGTTTTTAAATTGTATGCGTCACTTTATAATTATACCCTGGGTATATCTGTTATTGTTGTTTAAAAATCCTTGTTTTTTAAATGCATCAAAAAATCAAGATATAACCTATTATATGATCTTCGTACTACTGGAAAAG